CAGTGGTTGAAAACCGTTGCTGTAGGATGATAAAATTATTTTGACATATTTGTCATGTGTTCATTTGTATTCATGTTTCGCCTAACAGTTGGTAGTCCAGTGTAGGTAGTATGTGCTCGAAACGTCGAATGGCTTTTAGCAGTTCCGACAAGTCATGACAGCGTGTTATCTGTATATGTGCATTGTGCAATCAACTTCTGACATAAAATACAGTAAAAATATCGTTTGAGATCTCTTTTTCAGGTAGTTCAGACACATAGGCATAGCACGGGGTATGAGTTATGATTTCGGAGAGTTATGTTCAAACCACGCCCACTTTCCCCAGCGATCACACCATATTTCTTAACTCTCCTGACGTTTCCTTGAACTAACATGAGAGAGTTATGTTTGACTAACTCTCTCTCGTTAACATTAAAACCCTTCGCGTTCACGATTGTGACAATGAGAGTTATGTCAGTTTTTTGACCTTAGTAAAGCTTGTTTCTTCAGATTTTCATCTTCAAACAGGAAATACAACTTGACTCGGTCAAAACAATGAGATGCTTGCATCAGAAGGGTGAAAGTACCCCCAGAAGCGTGCTTTGACGTATATTTGGCAGTAAATACGGTAAGCATGATAGTTGCAAGAAAATTGAAAAAATTAAGAGAATTGAATCTTTCCGCGATTACATACCGTCGCTCTATGTCAAAAGAAACAAACTAGAAACGCTATTTGTAAACACGGTACACTTGATTAAGAACTATATATTTTTACAAACCGTAAAAATTATTAAAATGTTATTGGTTAGATATTGCTTTTTTGGTGTTTGGTTCATCGTTATAGTTTTGTTAAAAGTTCAAACAATAATAAAAACTATCAATAATTTATTTACTCGTACTCGCTTCACTTGGTAAGTACTACCATAGTTCCTAGAAAGCTGAAAATTTTGAAAAAAGTAAATTTACTAAAATGTGGATTTTTTTCCCCAAAAACTGACATAACTTTCTTCATTGCTACAATCATGAACGCGGAGAGTTATAAAAAATGATAACTCTCTAACATCTTCATAATGTTAACATGAGAGAGTTACGTCAAACATAACTCTCTCATGGTAGTTCAAGGAAACGTCGGGAGAGTTAAGAAACTGGGTGTGGTAGTTGGGAAAAGTGGACGTGGTTCGAACATAATTCTCCGAGATAACTCTCCACTTCATATAACCGTCTTCGTTTAGCCAGTCCCCATAACACGGCGACCTCGTACCCAGGGGTTGATAGCACGGCAGCTTATTGTAGAATACTAGGCCTACCTACACTCAACCCACACGTTTGAGATATCTTTTGCAGGCAGAGGCCGCGGAAGCATTTCGAAAGTGGAGGGGCATTGGCCAAAAGGGGCACTTTTGTATATGACCAAAATCAAGATTCTACGTCGTTCACGAGCCGAACGAAAAGTTTGAAAATGGAGTCCTTAAGTATGTAACGTCGGAAATGGCCTTTACATAGTCTTTACTACTGCAAAAAGGCACTTTCTTTCCAGCAAAAGAGGGCGTTCATTCAAGAAATGCTTTTTTCGTTCTTTGAATGGGGCACTTCAGCCCAGAAAAAAGGGCACTTATTTCACTTTCAAAAAGTGTGTGTGTGTGGGGGGGGGGACGTGTCCCCATTGCCCCCCCGGTTCTGCGGCCCCTGTTTGCAGGCAGTCATTCAGACACAATCTACGGGAGCTGTAATTAAGTTACACTGGACCACCACGTTTGTGACATTTTTTTACTTAGCTAGTGCAAACGACGACAATTTAATTTAAAATACTACCTACGCTGGTTATAGTTTTTGTCTTGATTTTAGACCATATCAAGGCGAAGATATAAATTTCATTTGTTTAATAATTACAGTTTCACTCAGACTTTTCAAATTGCGTGTCGGAAATAGATTATTTAATATGAGCAAAAGAATATAAGCTTCACTAGGCCAATGCTTTACCAACTGAGCTACGAGGTCAAGTCGATCGGTTCGAATTGGTGATATTTTGGAACTAAGTCTAGATTCCCACCGTGGTCAGGCAAACCTTTAAGCTTGCCCGGTGTGGATGCACACTCCGGCGGACAGTGTTAGCCAGTAACGAAGTAAATTTACTTCGTTACTTTACTTAAGTAAAACAAATCAGTATTTACTTGTAACGAAGTATTTTTTTAATGAAGTACTTTTTACTTGTAACGAAGTACGATTTTTGGTAAATATTTACTTTTTTACTTCGTTACTTTTGTTATATTTTGGCGAAGTAAAAATTTTAAAAAAGTATTTCTTATTAAAACGGACTGGTGGGATTGGGTGGGATTGGGTGGGACTTGGTGGGATTGTGGGAATGTGCTTGGC